TACAAAGCGTAGATATTGGTCAAGATCTCCAGCAGCAACAACCGAGCACCACGCCGTCCCAATCTTTAAATACCCTGCCATCACATGGCTAATTGTGTCAATCGCTAATTGGTCCGCGACACCTGTTCATTCATCACACGGATACTCGTCCAGCATTGTCAAAGTGCGACCTCGAGGTCACGTAATAGGTACTTTCTGTACGTGTAGTGACAAATGCGGCTACCTACTGGGCTATAAAACCTACCTCTGGGCTGTTATCAATTGATACTATAACAATAAATTAATAAATACAAAATTACATAATAACAAGCGTGTCCTTTTAATAATACAGTTTCTGATATGTTCACTCATTGATAAAAGAATCGTAGGGTAGACATAACGTGTCATTGATTGAATATTTTTTCCCAAGAAATGTGGTGATTTCTTCAGATATGAATTATGGTCCATTATCACTTACACGTTGGAGTCTTACATTCTTACATTCGGTTGAAATAATATCGGAGCGGTTTAGACCCAAAACACAACAGTTAAGGTGCAAATAAACTTTTGTTGATGTTCACAACAAAATGCACGGCTGCTTTTGAATGCACCTGATAAATAAAAAAACAAGACTTTGCATCGCTTTTATGTGAGTTAAATAACTGCCACGCGTGTATTTTCCCCTCCAGTTTTGACAAATGCAAATTAAATAGCAATCATGATTCTAAAGCCTGCATTTGTAGTTTAGTCTGGCTTTCATATCAATATGGTGTCCCTATGTCTTTCAAATATTGCTGACAATATCCTTTGACAACCAAAATATATTCTTTTGCAACCAGTTAGATACTGTGCAGAAAGTACAGGGAGTAGGTTGATGTTTTTTTTGTTGTTTTTTTTTTGGGGGGGGGGGGTCACTGATTTTCGTGCAAGTGTTGAGGGAAATGTTAATCAGTAATCTGTGCAGGCATGGGGGAGGGTCGCTTTGCAATTGTGCAAAGCAAGCCTCGTGACACCACAATTAAAGTAGCCTATTAGTAAGTGTTATGAACAGTATTGTTGACTGTTTTGCCTCAACTAACATTTATTCTATCAATCATTCAGCAGTTGTGTTTACATTGAATTCACATGTTAACCTCAACTTATATTCAGAGCTATGATGAGGACCCTTTGTCTGATGACTCTAATAATGAATAATCAGGCAGTGGAATTGAAAGTTTCAAACCGGTACACCAGGTCTGTGACAACAAGTTACTGAAACAGAAAGTTTTTTGGCGACTATCAATTCACCACTGGGGAAAAACACACAGTATAAAACACACATATTTATTTTAGTGTAATTTATGATACAATATGTGTTTACTAATACCAATAGCCACTGTTTTTTTACATGTACTTTCATTGTAATGAATATAATTTTTACACTACATTACTCAATACCGTGATTATTCAAATGTGATCTTTAAAATGTAATTATCTTAAGCCATGAGTATCCAGTGTAAGAGTAATTAAGGCCGCCAGTACTAGTAAATAATAATATTTGATCTAGCAGTGGTGTGACTAGCACCTATATACTATAAATGTACAATCTATGATTCTCTTTTTTCATTCCACTGCAATGTTTGGCTACAAGGCAGAACTTTCTTCCCCACCCATCCTTCCCTTCACATAATATTTGACTTTCTTTGTTATAATTTCTGTCTGTGATTTCTGTGTGCGAAGCACTCAATGAAAGTCTTTGCAGTTAGCCTGTGTTTGTGTGTGTGTTTGTCCGTTCCACTGATATCTCAAGAATCGCAATTTTGGTTTTAAAGAAAGTTGGTGCATATCGTGTTTTATCGTGATCGTGTTTTATTAAATATCCATGCATATTAATTGCTTAATTTGAATAATAATTAGTCAATTATTCACAGTATCATATATTGTTCTCTTTTCAATGCGAGCTGAGCTAAGTAATTGAAGTAGAAAAGTTCTAAGCTGCGTAGAAGAACATCAATTAGTATGTATATATAGTATTGTTATTCATCTGCCACAGTAACGACATTACAAGGTTACAGCATGCCGTAATTTTGCGGTATTTTACGGTGTATTTTCATCTTATTATTGCGCGTAATCGTCATCTAATTTGGTTTGTCCGAACTGCACACAACGAAGTTCGCTGTTTGTGTTCCAAACTTTTTGGATTTCGACATTCCCATGATGTATCCTTGGAAGGAAAAGATGTATTCAGACTGTACGCGTCGGTCGATATTTCAGCCGTACTGTCTTTGTGCATATTTTGAGGTAACCTCATATTGATACATGTACTATCCTCCCACTTAAAAGAGGGGGAGTCACAATTTGTCATGCACCATTCAAGGCCTACTCCAGTAATTTCTGGCCGGACCTTATCTTTATAATAAATAAATGAGCATTCAGGAATTGACACAGATATGCGAGTGATCCCAGATATCGGAGGTTATTCAGCAAAGACCTCAGATTTAACTGTAGATGTGACTGTAGTAATTTCAAACAACAAAATAATGAGAGACAAAATGGCCATTAATGAGAGTTGTATGTATTCTTATCAATGACAAATATGGAAAAATGCTTAGCACATACTTCTTTTATTACACAAATGTTTACAATAGTTCATAATTTTAATCAACAAAATGTAATATTTCCATCTCAATATTTCAGCTGATATTCCTGTCATTCTTGCTTTATAAACATGGATAGGCAAAGTAAGGACAACGCCGATATTAAGAAAGTACTGCTCGACGACATGCCTGCCACCCTTGCACTGTCTAAGACTGACGAGTATGAATATTGTTGCGGAATAAGACCATGGCGCCCTCGGTGTCTGCAAGTTTTCGCAAAGGCTCATTTTGCAGTTACCGGTCTTGTGATAGGAACACTATGCATGACTTTAAATTTTGCTGCAATGTCATCTGCTTTAAACAATTGGGAGAAACGCTACAGTTTACCCTCCACTACAGTTAGTCTTGCATTCACTGTCATGGACGTAGCCAAGTTGTTTCCACTAATTCTAATAACCTACATAGGTGGTAGACCAGATACCCACAGACCCAGATGGATAGGAGGTGGTATGATAATCGGAGGGATAGGACTTCTTATTGTCAGCAGTCTGCAATTCATGTCTGAACCTTATCAGTACGGCGTCTTCAACGGAAAAAAGTCGATGAAACTATGCAGTGCCCGGGAAGAATATTCTTTAAATGACACCATTGGATGCAATGAAGAGACTATGCATGGGGTTCAGCTTAAATTGTTACTTCTGATACTCACTGGAATAATCATGTTTGGCATTGGTCTGTCTCCACTCTTCACTCTTGGGATCACATATATTGATGACATTGTTCCCAAGAATAAGTCCCCGTTCTATATAGGTAAAGTAAATAAAATATAATACAAATAAAAATGTTATCAAAATTTTAGCATGTATGATTTGTTTTGAAGTGCATTATGACGTATTTTGTTTTGTTTTGGAAATGAATTGTCTACATCACTACTGTTTTGCTGAGTAAAGGCTACCGTGACATTACCCCCAAACATATGAAAATATTACGAAGTCAACAATACTTTCCATGTTTGCTTTCCTACTAGGCAAAATTTTGTGCAAATGTTCAGGGGCTGTACGAATTATTTGAACAAATAAAATCACCTTTTAGGGGATTTATTATGTTGCGAGTTGGAAACACAGATAATCGGGGTACTGCGATTCAGGTTACGCGATGAATGAAAAATGAATGCACAAGCCCTATCAATTCAGGAATTCTCATCTTAACAGAAATATCACACTTTTTATGTGGTGTACACCACATCTAATTCACCGTTCTCTGGCCTGTAGTACATATGTCTTCTCCTTACAAAACTTCTGTTTCAAATAATTTGGTTGGCAGATATAATGAACCTGTCATTAAATAAAATAATAATGCTACAAAAGTCAGATTCCAACAACGGCATTTGATTAAGACTCAGATGAAAATATGGCGGGTGTCAAACGTGGAGCAGTACGTGATAACTCTTTTTGGAAACAACCTTACATTTCATGGTTGTCAAATTATTATTCTCTTACTCATTTGCCTTTATTGTGTAACGTAGATAGTTTTTCATTTCGGTTGTGTAACTTGTAAATTTCGCTATACAACTCACATTCAATGTCCTATGATTTAATATTTTATTTCCTAAAGAGTGTGATTTTTGAAAAGGTGCATATTGAACATTTCATTGTCATAGCATGATGCATATTGCTTTTGTATTTGAAAATAAATACATGGGCTGGACAAGAAATAACTAATTATTGATGATTTTTTTTTCAATTCAGGTTTAATGTTTTCAATGCATGCACTGGGACCACTCATAGCTTTCCCGATATCATCTGCCTATAATAACATGTACGTAGATTTTTATCGCGTCAATACATCGATGAGCGAAATCAGTCGACACGATCCACGCTGGGTCGGTGCTTGGTGGCTCCCTTTTGTTATCAATGGTCCATTGTGCATTATTGTTGGAATATATATTATGCTTCTTCCGAAAAAGATTCACGCTAAGGTTGGAACTATAGGTAGCCCAAATCAAGAAGTCGTTGTAAATAACACTATATCACTTATTTTGAACAAGACGCTGAAAGGTATGTCTTGCTTGGAATTTTACTAAAGCACAGTATGGGGAAAATGATCACGAATAAGGTCACATGGTAGACTTTAATTTAATAGTTTTTTTAATACTAAGTAAACGCATTTGTGTATTTTAAAAGGGAAATCAATTATATAATATGATAAGTTTCTATGCATGGTGGTATTTGATACGACTTACATTCTTCGGGTATGAAATAATTAGAAAACAGACCTCTAGGCAATCATACATGAGAAACATGCTTTAAGGATTACAAATAGATGTGGCTTACATGTGGGCAATTTAAAATTACAGCCACTTCACTTTGATTTGATAGATCTTCTTTCCATTTCAGATCTGCCACAGGCGCTGAAACGACTCGTTTATAATAAGACTTACATGGCAGGGATGATGGCACGTATAGTCGATACGGCCGTGGTAGCGGCATTCGCGCCTTTTAGTGTTAAATACATACATGACCAATTCAGAGTTCCTATGGCAATTGCTGGATTCCTTGTTCGTAAGTTATTTAGCTTCAATGGAGTTGGTGGGTCGATGCATTGGTTGTTTTACTTCATTACCTGCTTCTGACTTGAGCGGTTTGTGATTATTTACTTGAATTAGTCATATTAGATTGAAAAAAGTAATTTATTTTTTATACGCATAAATATGCATTAAGCATAGTATGTGGCGTTTCATTTTCAAGAAACAATCCATAATTTGTAGTAATAGATGTGGTAGGTTGAGCCAGTGTAGTATATTACACATTACAACTGAGGTGGTTTACCTCACTAACAAATTCATGTTCATTACTACTTCGATATATTCACAGCTTTTGCATTTGTTATACCAAGCGGACTTGGGATACTCATTGGAGGTATACTCATGCGGAAATACAAACCATCATTAGTATCTACAGCTAGAAATGTTCTCCTTGTAGGTGTTCTGGTTGTACCACTTCCTATCATAATGATCTTTATTGGTTGTGATAATTATAGATTTGCTGGCATCAATACAGAATACGCAGTTAGGTTAGTGAATCATCATGTGGACCTTCATATACATATATTTGATAATAACAATGTGTTTCATTTCTTAAATCTTTTTCACTAGCTGTGTTTTGCACTTCATATGTTCTTACATCATATGCTATCCATGTAATCAGACATTCTGAATTTTGTTGAAATTGAAAATATACTCTTCTTAATTTGTTGATATATTACCATTACTGTTCTATATAATGGCTGCTGTTGCCATTAATGTTTCTGATCATAACGTTTTTACCATCTATTTGTCTATCAAGTGCAAAGTGATATGCAACAACTGAGGTCATATATGTACCATAAAAAATTATTTAATTCGAGATATAGTGGAATTGTATATCACCATTTGCATGGTGTTTGTATATTGATCAGTTGGTTATTTTCATAATGTCTTGGACAATTCTTGATCAGAGAAATGTTTGCTTACACAACTGCTTCCGACGAAATGTTACCATTGTACTTAACTTTGTGGTTGGCTTTACTGGAGTAGTCGACCGTCGACTTTCTGTATGCCTTACTATATATTACAGCACTCGTCAAAAACTATTCCACAACAACCCTGTCGCAAATAGCAAACACAACGTCTTAAATATATCAATCTGGCAAACCTTGTCCCTTTACCTGCAGTAGAATAAAATATGTATTCGTTGGTGTCACCACTGAAGGCTTCCCGACATGAAGAGCAGTATATTAAATTTAGGGAAGAGAATATTTTCCCATCTGCTCCGTGAAGGTTTAGCGAAGTCAATGCAGCTGTCCCACAGGTTACCAAAGTTGATCTAACTAAAACGGATCGCCCATAATATCAAATCACCCATGCAATTATTGTTTTCACAAGGATCTGACTTACATGGAACCACTCAAGTTTGGGAACATCAACTATCCCTATTCCCACGGATATTTAGTGGTAATTCTATTTTGTAAGATGGTTAGCTCCACCATACAAGGCAGAAGCATGATGCACTGTAAAAGGTCCGTGTAGTCCTGTGGGGGCGGAACCCTGGCAGATTTGGCATTACCCATGCTGCTGCAGTCGCAAACATGGAAAGGAACAGCTCGTAATAGACTTCTATTTTTTTTCGTGGATGTTTTTTTCATGGTGGTAATAGAACCGGAAGTATCGTCATAACATAGACAGGAAAGCATATTATCCCCTCAAATTCTAGTTTTTAGTGAGAATCATTTTTATATTTCAAACGAGTTAGCAATCCGGCAGGTCAGATGAATAATGTAACAATCAATGACTTCCCTGCCATGTATTGCCAGTGATTTTGTGAAGTGTGGTAATGATTGAGTGGTACTTTATATTTACCATGTCAGTCATGCTCCACCATTCCTACTTGCATACCTCACTGAGTACTACATATAAATGTACATAGTTTGTCATGCCTAATGTCGTCGTAGTTGCAGTTCAATCGAATATATCATAATCGAAGATATATTCACTGACTTGGATAAAACACACTTTTCATCTACTCGTGAGTCATTAACTTGGATTCCAAAAATTAGCTTATAAAAACCCATTTGTCAAGTATAGACATAGATATAGGGTTCTTTATATTGAGATGTGAGAAAATATACAAAATGACTATTTAAGACAGTTTAATCATTAAGGATAATAAATACTGATCTGTTTTTTTTTTGTCTATCGTCAGACATCAACAATAGAATTTGGTCAACAAGAGATTTCCTGTCCCTTCCAATCCTGGGTATTTAACTACATGCAAATTTATTAATATAAACAGATGAAGTTGATTTCCATGGGTCTTTTGTTCATCATAATAAGTGCATTGTCGTGTATAATAGTTCACAGCATGGAATAGAGGATGAGGTAACAATAGAGGATGAGGTAATCTTTTGTTCAGATGTCATATCACAGCCATCAGTTGTGACTGTAATAAGAATCATTGTGACGAACATGTGTCTCATAGATGAGTCAAATTTTGCTGCTACAAGAATGCTTGGAGAAGTGAATGAATCTTCTTGATGTCGAAACACAAACAAATCTCAGAATATGTGGCACTGGTATACGGTAACGCGCAATCCTGGTGAAATCTTTCCAATGTTAAATTAGGTCGAGGACAATAAATAACTTAAAGAGAAATGATGGGTTTGTTTCACCAATTACCCGCCAACGGTCTTTTGTTTCTAGCCCTTGAGTCCTCAACAGTGAAAAACAAAGAATATGTATTAAACCAGATCACCGAGGCAGACTCAATAATACAGTCCCAGTATGACGAAAACACGCCAATAACAGAAACAATATGACGATAGTAGTACGAGAGTTCAAAATATTCTTGCTGAGCTTCTCTAAATATAGCGGTTCATAATGCTTTCTTGTCCCTTCCTGTTGCTAATCCAATTATAAACTAAATTCTAAAATTCTGAACTGCACTCGATAAATCTTAAAAATCGACAAGGTTTAAAGCAAATATTGGCTACGAATATAGCCACTATGAAACAAGCAAGGCCAGTTGTGTGTATGCCGCCACTTATGCCGTATGCCAGTGTCTAGATCCAAACCATATTTAATAAATTTGAAAATCACATAGTTAAGGTACATTGGGCATTTAGGAAAACACTTTGTGCTTTGAAGATCAGTGACACAGGAATGCTATGGTCAGCGATCCATTTCAAACCGACCAAAATGTTGTTACTCAAAAACGAAAGCGCATATGCAACTTTTCTATATAAACATTGACAACTAATGTTATGAATATGGCATCCGACTGTCACCCATTACACAATGGATATGCAAATTTGGTCAAAGGTCGGCCATCTTGTCAGACTATTTCTGGCAATTACTGTCAGCAATACGCTCAATATTGAGAAAAAAATACTTTCTTATTATAATATTATAATTCTCATTCTTCTTCCATTATTTCTTACAAATCTACAAGGTCAATTTTCTTGAAAGTAAAACTCATTGAAAGATGTCAGGTGTGTCTGATCTTCGACTATATTTAATTATATGAAAAAAATGTCACTTGTCTAATATAGTACGCGGCTTTCATTCATAAGCCATAGTTGCCACACGTGTACCAGAATATGCCCACACTTATCTGACATGACTTTATGTCGACCATGGTATCCACCTTGTATTCTTGTACTTATTAGACTGTTTTGAACTTTCTCTATATGACTATTATATTGGGTATATGTTATTTATACACTCACTAGACTGTTAAAAAGAACAAAACTATATTGCATATTATTTCCCCAAATAGGGCATTGATATTTATCTGTCTTTTATTATACTACTCCCTCAACAGCTGCCTTACTGTATAATATGTGCTATAAATTATCTATTCCAGAATATATAGTAATAGTAGCAATGTGAACAATGTAACTTCCTGTAACTCTGAATGTATATGTCAAGATGATGTTTTTGATCCGGTATGTGGATCAGATGGAATTACGTACCTTTCACCATGCCATGCAGGATGTCAATCATTGAATTCCCCAATACCACATGCAAAGGTAATGTTCACTTAGGTTTATCCAAGCCTTAAACAAGGAATACATTTATGTTATATTATTATAATAAATTAGAATTTTTATAATCTGTTTTTTTTTAGAATTACACTGAATGCACGTGTACAGGCAAAACTATCAGTGATATGCCTAGTAGAATCAGTTCTGCTTTTACAAGTAGTCATTCCCTGATGGATAGTAACAGTTTTGATAACTATACAGAGACGTACAACAATACAATGAATAACGGATCTGCATATCTTCCCAATGAGGACGATATATCAACACTTGGCTATGCTAGGACTGGTATATGTGGAGAAGAATGCAATCAAAATGCGATAGTGTTTGTTATTGTATTCTGCCTTTTTAGTTTTGTCGGATTCCTTCCTGCAACAATGTCTATAGAACTTATTCTAAGGTAATCATTTCAACTTTATTATTATAAAACATAATTTGAACCACACCGTACTGCACAAAACAATTCTACAGAAGTCAACCATTAAACATACCAGAGAAGGTCAAACCACATCACTAATTGCATTAGTAATTCCACCAGTCATTTTACACAATTCTAATCCGCATTACAATACAATACACTTTCGTGGTGTAAATTTTGATTGGACATATATGTGTGTGTAGCAAGATTGGAATAGTGAGGACACTATTCCAACTAGAAGTAACGCTAATAAAATTTGAGTCATTAGTGTGGTATAATAAAGTCTTTCCGTCATAAGTTTTTTAAAGGCCTTCAATATTTACGCCACTCTATCTTTGAGAGCTAAATATATCCATGGGTGATGACGCAACGGAGTCAAAGAACTAACTTGCTGAAGCTGAACTGTTCAAAAAAGAACATTTATCTGAAACCAAGAGTATTCATTTTGAATAGATACATGGAATTCAAACGAAAAACATAACAGAACAATTAATATAGATATATTGAGACGAATGTTCAAAAAAGGTAACAACAGAATGAAATACAGACAAGTAAATAGTAATCCTATTTTAGAGCATGATTTCCGTTGTGTACTTACTGACCAGGAAATACTTAAAATATCGATGCCATCTAAACCTTTGTCAACAACCAACGAGTTTAGTTCACATCGAGATAGACAGTCAAGTGCAGCAATAACAAATCACCTTCATTGATCAGCAAATTAAAAAGGGAAGGCCAATTGACCAGAAACGACAAGTGCATTTTACCATGAGTATGGCAGCTGCCACAAGCGAAAATGTTGATGAACAAGCATGACATGAGAGTCTGTTATATAGTGATTACACAATATTTCCTAAAACATGCAGTGCGACTGCCCGGGATCAGCAGGACCTTTGTTCACTGCAGTATACCGAAACAGATGAGTTTATGACAACATTAATCTCTGTATGACAGTATTGACTATGCCGAGAATGATTTTAGTATGCGCGACATAGACTTTACAATAACCAAGCTTCATTGAGGATATGTGTTTTGTGCTTAGATAATTGCCTGTGGCTCTTAAAGCATTGACTGATTTAACCATGTCGTCGGGAGTCCCGCTTGCCAACTGCGCTAGTCTATGTGAATCACAATAGAGAATCGTTGATGGACTGAAGAATACCCAGTAATCTGCAAGAACATATAAACACCTTCAGATATCCCAGTTCTGCATGGGGGTCCGTAACGAATTGTATGGTTGATTAATTACATCATGACGTATTTGTGTACATCAGGACCTTTAAATAATTTTCTCTAAACGCGTCTCATGCATCTGTGTATGAACTGGTCTATATAATATATTAATACACACCATTCGTGTTACACTATAATGTGTACATTGCGAGTACCGACACTAAATATATAGGAGTTCAGATGTTTTTGGCCACGTGATAATAAAAAATCACCAAGGGCGTTAATGTATGACTTGGTGGCTTACATTTAGAACCTATTGACAATGGTGGCAGCGTTGTGATATGTTTAAATGTTAATTAAAAAATAATCACATGTGCTGTGTTAAACGGAGTATACAATGGCTAGGTTTATTTACGAGGTGACAATCTGAAATGCATAGATATGAAAGCTGTAGAGGAATTGGGAAGGCAGTTGTATTACAAGTTTTGAAGATTAAAAACAAAAATATCCGTGAAAGGGTTTTAAAGTTGCAAGATCAGATAAGTGAACAAAGAGTATACCAGAAAAACAGATTAAATTTCTGAAGAAAGTCGAATAAATGCACAGAAACTGAGTTAATTAAAGGGAGCCATGAACATAAGAATAAGCATTTTTAATTAAGAGACACGTGTGTCAACCATTTGTTCTACTAAAATTCAAAAGCTAAAAGATTATAATGACGGGGAGAATATGATATGTATGTAGACTGTTTGCGATTGGGTGTAAATTGGCTATAAACGATAAAAAACACCCATATAAGGAAAGGTGCAAGCTCTTATGCACATCTAGATGGACTTGCAAAAGTGATTCCACTAAAGATATTTTATTGCAGGGAATAACGAGGCGCCAAGATAACATTTGTAAAATCTTACACACTATTTACAATAGCCTGTACTCACGTAATTACTTTAACTTTGAAGCTCAAAATAGTCTGTTTAAAGGGCTGCAGAAGCTAAGCGAAGCAGACCTTGATGAACCAATCACGTGCATGTTTGCCGAATTCAGCATTACTTGCAAACTTCGTGGGCGTACTCACAGTATCACTGGAGGTAACCTGTACTGTGTATTTACTGCTTCAACTGAAAATGTGTCCCTCTATCCTGTTTGTATACAAACGTAACGAACATACCCCTGACCTATGTTGCTTTCCACTAAGAAAAGGTTTTTGATGACCTTTTCATTACTTGTATTCTTCTCGTATCTTTCAATCTCCAGTCTCTGATCCGTGTTTAATGTGCCATCACTATGTGTTCTCTACATCTAATCCATTAAACCACTACTCCATAAATTTAAAAATGATGAAAATATTCAAGGACTTGTCACACCTTACTACTCACCCTGACGACGTAGAATTGTTTATAACAAACAAGCAGCATTCAGTTCACTTACTCGTGACTAGATATTTACGAGCGTGTCTCAAACTCCACAATCCAAAATCAATCTTCAAACGTCGGAAGGGTTATTAGTTGGTTGGCGTCCATCGCTCGATTTCAAATAGGACAGCATGAGGTTGAAAGTTGTGGGTGTTTATCTTGAGAATAACCTGTATTGATCAGAAACTGGACTGTGAACAAAATGCTCTTGTTATTATTAATCTGATCTCATTGCCGTTAGTATGTCACTTTCTTAGCCTTGTGCCTCATATTGATCTAATTCTTGTAGAGAAAATGTAGCTTGATTTATTTTTGCAAGGATATTGCGTGTCTGCCGAAACACTGAACTTCTCGGAAAGGGGTGGGCAAAATGTAACGCATATTCTAACGCGCATATGGAAAATGCGACTTTGCTATATTCAAATTTATCTGTATAACAACCATGACAATTCTGCTTTTACTTAACTGATTACTTGTTTAACCAAAAGAGTAATACGTCATATGAAAGTCAATTACTGTGTATCACTATCAATGCATTTGAAACGGGTGCATTTTAAGAATATCGGATTCAAGTTCTCATCAGCCATCATCACAAAAACTAGACACTGTTTGACGTGACGATGAATAGAAATTTGCTGAAATCTAATAAAATGTTGGCTTACATGTCTTGACAAATATTGCAATTATTCATACTCACGTACGAAAATGCACAACCAAGTTTAGAAAGCGCACGGATTCCAGAAGTTTTGTACTCTGCAAACATAAGTGCGTTATTTTTTTTATGTTACTTGTTTTGCGTTTTAAATGTTTTAATTTCCAGGCAAGGTGTGTACCACCTTAAGTGCGAACCGTTGTCACCAGCCTGCTGACGGGGTTCCAAAGTACCATTACATACAATACAATACAATCAAATACGACGTACCAAACCAGCAAACTATTTCTCAAATAACAAGCAATGTTCTCTACACTATATATATAGTAGTTGTTCTTGTTGCGTCTCCCTGTTTAAACTGCTATGTTTTTATTATTTTGTAGGTGCGTTGACCCAGCAGATAAAACGCTTGCACTAGGTGTAAAAGTTGTGCTTTCTACGTTATTAGGTAAATCAACTAGTTAACACGCCACAGTCATCGTGCCGCGTCAAGTTGTATATGGACCTCATATGACACATTTACGAATTTGTAATCACTACATTTGTATATGCGCAATGAAATTATTGGGGTCACTAGATTCGCATTATACTCTGAATATCTAATATCTCCCGGCAGTATGGTGCTGTGAGCGCGTAGACCGAAATAAACGCCGAAACGTCCCGTGGTATTCTCAGCTCATACATTGTATTTTAATTTAATTTAATATGAAGTAGAAAGCAGCGTTAACAAAAATCATTGTTTTATGACTTCATTACCATGACGTAACTCTACAGTCTCCATAACAACAATGAAACTTTCGGGCTAGTTGTATAAAGTGTAAAGCTGGGAAATCTGGCTAGAAACACCAGCTCTGTCGCTGTCAACTATAGATTACTCACACTGTCAATCACTTACACGATGTATAGATAAGATATAATGACACAGTGTATATCTCGACTATACGTAGTCCAAAATAAATTACGATATTATAAATTTGATAATTGACGTTGTTTTTGCGAAGATTTTTAATACAATTTGATCTCATATTTGTTCTTTTATAATAATTTCAGTTTGGATACCAACGCCCATGTTTATCGGAGCAACCATTGATTCCACGTGTGTATTTTGGGAAACGACAGCATGTGGCGATGAGGGCGCTTGTTGGGTACATGATATACCGCAATATCGCATGAAATACATGCTAGTACTATTAGCTATCAAGGTCATTGGTCTAATCTTCAAAGCACTCACGTGGTGGTTGTTTAGGAATCATGAGAATGGAGATAAGAAGTATGATAACGCACCAATAAACAACCCTGGAAATGAAACTTATTTTTAAATTGCATCTTACACATGGCAATGGTTTACAATTTATTTTAATAATATTTATTTTAGAAACTGCGAAATTTTCTCGCATCTATATTACACTACACTTTCATTCGTGTATTTTACCAAGCTCGGTCGCACCGATGGTGTATTCTTGCATCTGTATAATAAGCAGTTGTGATGCGAGATTAAAACACAGGTGATAATGGGAATAACAATACATTGTATAGATGATAATGGGAATAACAATATATTTTACATGTGATAATGGGAATAACAGTATATTGTACAGGTGATAATGGGAATAACAATATATTTTACATGTGATAATGGGTATAACAATATATCGTACGGATGATAATGGGTATAACAGTATATTCTACGGGTGATAATAGAATTCAGAATATATGTACATGCGACAATGGGAATAACAGTGTATTGTACGGATGATAATGGGAATAACAATATATTGTTCATGTGATAATGGGAATAACAGTATATTGTACATGTGATAATGGGAATAACACTATATTGTATGGATGATAATGGGAATAACACTATATTGTATGGATGATAATGGGAATAACACTATATTGTATGGATGATAATGGGAATAACAATATATTGTATAGATGATAATCGGAATAACAATATATTGTACATGTGATAATGGGAATAACAATATATTGTACAGGTGATAATGGGAATAACAATATATTGCACAGGTGATAATGGGAATAACACTATATTGTACATGTGATAATGGGAATAACAATATATTGTACATGTGATAATGGGAATAACAATATATTGTACATGTGATAATGGGAATAACAATATATTGTACATGTGATAATGGGAATAACAATATATTGTACATGTGATAATGGGAATAACACTATATTATACAGGTGATAATGGGAATAGCAATATATTGTACGGATGATAATGGGAATAACAATATATTGTACAGGTGATAATGGGAATAACACTATATTGTACAGGTGATAATGGGAATAACAGTATATTGTACATGTGATAATGGGAATAACACTATATTATACAGGTGATAATGGGAATAGCAATATATTGTACGGATGATAATGGGAATAAGAATATATTGTACATGTGATAATGGGAATAACACTATATTGTACAGGTGATAATGGGAATAACAATACATTGTACATGTGATAATGGGAATAACGGTATATTGTAGGGAAGATAATAGAAATAACAAGTTATTGTAAATGTAATAATGGGAATAATAGAATATTGTACAGGTGATAATTGTAATAACATATTGTATAAGTGATAATTGTAATAATATATTGTAGAAGTGATAATGGTGGAAATAGCTGTATGTTGTACATGTGATAAAAGGAGTGACACATATATAATATACAGCTGATATCACGGTATAAGTTGTGGCAATCGAATAATAGGATAAAGGAGACGGTCGATTAAGTCGAGGAAAGAGACTTTATTCTACGATGCAGATTATACGAATAATATACAGCTACTGCTTAATAAAGCGTGTGTTGAAAGTATACATACAATGTGGCCGGAAGTTTGGGCTTACTTAACTTGTTACTGAGTAGCCAATCAACTAACTCAATGATAATTAACTTAAGTACATAACGTATCGTTTTGTGGTTTCCTCAGCTCGACTGTGGTTCCGACATAAGTGACAGTATATTGTACACGTGATTAAGGGAGTAATTTGGGTAATAGAGTGCACAACACAGGTTAGTGATACTGTATAATATATAGGTTATAGTGAGCGTCAGACAATACAATGTACATTTCATATTAGACATAGTTTACTTGTGATAATAGCATAGTTTCCATGTGGTAATATAACCTAATTTACATGTGTTAATATAACATGATTGACATATGATAATAGATATAGTTTTCATGTGATAATATTATAGTACCCATGTGATAATATCATAGTTTCCATGTAATAATATAAAATAATTTACATATGATAATATACAGTTTCCATAGGATAATAACTTAGTTGCCATGTGATAATAACAAAGTTTACATGTGATAATATAACATAATTTACATGTGATAATAGATATAGTTTTCATGCGGTAATAAAATAGTTCATATGTGATATTATAACATAGATTACATAGGATAATAGCATAGTTTGCATGCGATAATGGCATAGTTCACATGTAATAATAGCATATTTTCCATGGGATAATATCATAGTTTACATGTGATAATAACATTTCCATGTGATAATATAAAATAATATACATGTGATAATAGCATAGTTGATTATGGCCGCAATGTACAGATAATCGTATAATGTACAGGTGATAATGTTAGTAAAACGATATATTAGGATAACGGGAGGAATACGGGGTTATGTATGGCTTATAATGGGAGTATAATGAGCATTTGATAATTCGAGTAATACAGTTTAATGTAAAGGTGATAATGGGAGTAACACGGTAACGTGTGTGTTATAAAGGTAATACCACAATACACAATATCTTCATGCATAAACAAAATAGCAACACGCTTAAATGTGCAGGTCTAACAACAACACAATTGTCTGTATACTACAGTTTTTTTCAAATAAGCAAAATCTATCATCATCATGACACACATACGATTATATCAGGTGTTTTGAAATATTGTATTTATTAACCGTAAGTTCAGTTTATCTGTCAAAGCACATTTTGAAATTTACGTCTCGTCATTCTCAATCAACCTAGCAACACTTTGTTTGAAGTTGTTTGTCGTATTTACTTTTAATAAATTATAGTTTACTTCAAAATCAAACTAGTTTTGACTGCGACGTCTGTATTTAATTGTACCCCTTTTGATCATTACATTGAATCTGAATTTTATTCGACATGATACACAGAACTTCAACTTATCAACTGGAGTCCCAATTTAACAATCATCATGAACAATATGCCAGAGAGCAATAAGAGAGGAGGTAGAGATTTCAGGATTAAAATATGATATAAATACTGTTTTCCCTAAGAAAAGCTTCCAAAAATACACCATCAAAAGCAGCGAGTTGAAAAGCAGAAACCAGAGGGATGTTTGGGGACTTGACAATATGGACAACAGAAAAGCGCACTTCGATTGTACTTTTGTACAATTGTGCTCGCTAAATCGTCTTTTATTAGCGGTGTTTCACTTTAAACATGCATTTATGTGAACAATTTGTGTTTGTTGTGAAAACAATGTATAGGTACATATTTAGGTTATATAGGCTCACCATACTGCCAAACTACTGACTGTAAAACATGTCATTACTGTGACTACTCGCTAGACCAAATGGAAAATGATGGAAATGCATTTACAAGAAAATAAAAATTAAATTTACAACTACTACACTAATAAAAAATGTTGCTCAATCTGTTTAAACCATCAACGTTTACAGTCATCTGATTGTCACCTGCGCACGCGAGGAATTTGAGTCCCAAGCGACAATAACAAGACACGGTAAAACGCAAAGGCTCATGGGTAGACGCGTGTTTGTAAACAATGGCACGCTATGACCATCTGACGCTTGCGTAGGTGACGACTCCACCGCTTTAAGCAATCATCATAAAAAATAACCTTTAAAACTACCGTCTACTCAGATAATCAGTCGCTAAAATCTCAATCGTGAATCTATTTGCGTTACTATTCAAGTGCAATAATGGCTAACGATCAGGACATACAACTTATCAGTTATGTTCTGTATACAAACTTCGCTAAAACGATCTGTATAGAATAGTTCTGTTCTTTTTAAAAGGACTGGGATAATATAGCTTTTGTTTTTATTTTACGAGCACCTATTCATGCAGCCTACTCTATTTCACTTGATTTGGTTGACAAGTTTCGGTCAAATTAGCTTGGTGTCTTTTTTTACATTATCATGATTACTACAATATGTGGTTCTTATATTATGATGTTATCATTACTATTCCATTTAGTTATTTCCGCATTTTGTTATTATTATGTCATTATTTGGTTTTCTTTTGTTCTCGCGTTGTGTAGTTAATTTATCGTTATGTTATTATTCAGTTGTTTGAATATTCGATTTGTTTACATTTGATTGTCTCGACATCAGCTGACCTCATTAGCTGAAGTCTAATTGCACCTAGAAATAATTGAACGAAATGGCGGCAGCTATAGTTGCGAGTATTTACCCTGACAGTGGGGTTGCAGACGATGTTTCTTAAATTGACTGCTAAATGATTTTTTTCTGTACGTAATATTCTTAAATATTGTCTTTTTTGACATTTGAGTATTTTTATTAATTTCACATTCATGGTGTTTAGTAAAAATGCATTTCATTTTAACATTTTGTAGATCTGTAATTTATGGTCACAGAGCTGTACTCCATTCGACGAAAGCTGAAATTCTTTATTTCATTCTAACAATATTTTAAATCAATGATATTTTATATTTTTAGTTTATCTTCTTCACAATAAACACAACTTGATTTTGTAAGTTTTATTATTTTTGTGTGGTAACCATGGGCTAAATTCGATTGCAAAATATTAGTAAACAAGGTGATGTTATTTAATAAATCTTAAATCACCTTTGCACTTTGAACCTTGCCCCGTTATTTCTAAGACGGGTAGTAAGATTACTGTTCGGTCACAAAGTGATGCTGAGTCTGATCGTAATTTGTCACATGTAAATAAATCTCACATTAAAAGTCAAAAGTCAATTAATAGCATTAACAAACACATGTAGACTCACTAGAAAAAGAATTAAGCCAAAGAGAATATAAATGACATGCGGTATAATATGAATTATACAATGTGACACTGAAACTTTGCTGAGCTATAAAATTTACAGTTAGATTCAGTTGAGAACAATGATGTTAACCTGAATTTTGTTCATTGTTATAAAGCTGATTGTTACCATGGTGTTATGTAGCATCACTGTAAAACATTGATGTACCACAGGCAATCTAGTGGCAGTCTTGAGGTAGGGCCAAGGAACAATAAAAAGGCGACCTAATTAGTTATTTTCTCT